GCAGGTAGCTATTTTTAGCTGCCTGCAAAGGCAACTAAAGAAGAAGAAGAAGAAGAAAAAAAAAAAAACAAAAAATTCGAGCCAGCTCAGCCTGGTTCAAATCTCACTCGACCTCTCTCGCGACTTCAGATCCCCTTTTAACTAATTTCATACATTTCAAGTGCAATACTACGTTGTAAAATCACAGAGGTTTTCTTCTTCTTCATTATCGCTACCACATGTCCTATTTCGTCTGGAGAAGTGGACTGGTTTTGCTGGCAGCGACACAGGATGCCGAGTATTAGAGGTGAAAACTTTTAGTAAAATCATAGAGTTTTTGTTTTTCTTCATTGTCGCTACCACGAGATTGTATTTCGCCTGGAGATTGGAGCTGTAGATGGCGACGACAGAGGACGCGGAGTAAATAATTTAGAACCGAGTATATAACTCTCAAAATTTTTTGAAAAAGAAGCAAAACCTGTATGATTATCAGTTCCTCTCGGTAAATAATTCTCCGACGAATGTGATCAAGAAGCCAATCATCCTAGGTTAGGTTTCTGAACCATCCATTGTGTTGTGGGGTGATGAAGTAAACTATTTGCTTCATTTTACTAATAGCGATTATATTGGAATTAGTACTGATTATTAATTTGCTTAATATGCAATTCTTTTTTTATTGTTGGGATTATATGTGTACATGCATATATTTGTGTGTGGATGTATTTGTCCTATGTTTTGTGTTCAATTACATATGGTTCAAAATGTGCTTTTCATTGTATTTATGTGTGTTTGTAGTTTTCCCTTATTCTAAATGGAGACTTAGTTTAAGGAAAATGGGTTGTTTTGATGTATTACATGTGGATTTTGCATTTTTTTCATCTTCATTTGAACGATTAATTAATGGGTGTCAATTTCTTGTTTTATTTTTTGAAAAACCATTTCTAGATATTAATTAGTACTGACATTGCAAGCAAATAGTATTTGTAAATTCAAGAAATATTATTTTTATTATTGTTCTATGTTCATGAAACTTCTCATGGGACACATTGTGTTCTTTGGTGGAGGAAATTCTCCTTATTGAAATGGGCAAATGTAATTCATTTGAGAGAGAAGGATAAATTAAGAACGGATGACTTGAGTGGTTGTGACATATTTTGTGTTGATTTAAAAAAGCCCCCCTTTCAAGAGAGTGATGTGATTTTAGTGAGCAGGATAGTTACCTGATATAATTGTTAACGATCTAGTTGTTTTAGATTTCCTAGACCTAGCAATAAATCAAATGGAACGATGAAAAATTATTCATTTAACAAATCTAAAAATTAGTGGCGAATAAAATTGAGTTTGTTTATTTTCTAAACTTGGACCAACCACTCAGGTAAATAAAGTAGAAATTGTGAGCTTGTTTGGGAGAGATTTTTGGGGGAAGAATTGATTTTGAATAGTGATACGATGGGAAATGTGT